GTGTGATTATTAATACCAATTTTGCGTAATTTAGCGATCTACATTAAATATTCTTACTTAATGAAATTTAAGTGTAGAAAAAATTTTCAGTAGGCCGATTATTCAAAAACTGATACTGTATTCAGATTCTCCTCAGTGCTTCGATTGTAAAAGCTAAAATTCGTTCAAATTGGATCAGTAGATCAGCAAAAAATTGGTAAAGAAGATTATTGCGATATTATATAAAAATGTATTTAACAATGGGTTTTCTACAAAATTTTATTGTAACTTTTAAAGTATCATTTTTAATTTAGTTTAATATACAATATTTGTACAGTACAAAGCGTCGATAGAGGCAGTACTCATTTGTTAGAGACATATTGAATAAATAATTAACCCTTTTGACTCAATCTATATAATTTTATAAACCTTTTATCTTCTACTTACCTTATCACACTTTTAACCTTTAAGTGATCCTAAAGAACTGAGTATAACAATATTAAATAATTACTTATTTTTATGCTTTTCTTTCCTGCTCCATCTATTCTAAAAAAAATATAATAAATATAGTAAAGCAACCTATTATTAGTAAGTTTAATCAATATAAGTGAATAATATTCTTTACTTGATTTTCTTTTTATAATAATAATGAATATTTCTACTTTTCTTATTTTTTAACTAAATGATAATTTTTTTATATCAGTATAAGATGATTTTTTTAATTTAGATTTTTTGATACATATAATAGAGAAAATCATCAAAAATAAAATAAGTTGTCTTGATTTTAAAATAAAGCAAAGCTTTAATCAAGTATATTTTATATTATAAAGGCATTAATCTATTCACCAAATATATTATTTACAAATATTATTAATAATTTATATTTAGATACTAAGATAATAGGAATTGAAAGTATAAACTTATTATAGAAAGAAGAACACATTAATTTTCTATTTGATTAGATTATGAGTAGCAAAAAAAATGAAAATAAAAGGTTTATAAATATATCTAAAAAAATGTAGATCTAAAGAAGAAAAAAATATAATAATATTTTATTAATAAATGTAAGAAATAAAAAAGTCTTCAAATATAAAAAATAAGCTTAATATTATAAATAGGTATTCTTCATCATTACTAATAACTCAAAACCTGAATTTTCTATTCATTTTAAATGGATCACATTTAAATGTATTAACTGTTGTTATCATTAGTAAGATAAAAAAAAAGTAAAGTAATAATAATTTTAATAATATATAATAGAACAGGTAATATTATTCAGTAAAAGTATTTCAACTTCATTCACGTAACAGATTATATTATAATTTAATTAATATCTATGTAATATTTAGTATATTTAAAATATCCATTTAAATCTAACCATCTAGTTCATATATCAATTTACAACATCTGCTTTTTAAAGTACTGTAATACTTAAAATACTATTAATATTACGTAGAAGTTATTAGTAATAATTATTTAAAGCTCATTGAACTAAGAATTAGACTTATTCTAAAAATTAAGATCTGAATTATTTGGTAGATAGATCATTAAGTCATCTGGATGATCAATAATTTTATTTAAATGAGAATTTTATCTGTTAGATTCAGATAAATTTAATATATAAATTATCACACAATTAAAATTTTTTATTTTATTTATTATATATAGTTAATGTATTTTAATAATCTCAAATTTTACACTTGAAAAAATACAAATAAAATATTTTTAATATTTTTGATTTAATTTTTATTATTAGGATATATTGCATTATCATTGAGAATAATCTTCTCTTATTACTTCATGTAATTTGTCTAAGTTCCTTTGCTGTGATAAGTAATTTTCTTAATGTCAGATTTATAATCTTAGGGAATCTTTCGTTCTACAGGTATCCAGAATTTCTTGGAATTATTTCACTTGATTTACGAACTTAAGAGTTTAGAGACTTAGGAAATTTAGAGAATTTATTTATTTTAAGTGACGAACTCAATCACAAGTTAATGTAATAGTTCACGATCAAATTCTAGATAATAAACATGTAGAAGGAAAAGTATTTTTATTTTAAAAGTTGATTCCTTTATTTATTACTTGAACTTGTAATAAAACTGAATCTCGCAATAGAGTTCAAAGAACTTGCAAAAGAGTTATAAAAACTTAATCTGAAGTATCTAGTAAAGCTAAGAATCCTACAAATTCCTAGAATCATCAAAATCCAGAATTATGCAGATCTTCTAATTTGTGATGAACATAAAATTAATTTCAGTAACTTCTATAGATCATTTAATAATTCTTTGTAGATCAACTTTTCAATAGTGAATTTTTAGCCGATAATAGCATGATAAATTATTTAATTTTATTTTATGACAGGTTAACTGATAGGTTATATTCACCTACAATTACTTAGATTTTAAGATCATGATCTAGATATCTAACTTATTTATGAATATCTGATTGCACCTGAATCAAGTCTAATCCCTATATTAAACAACTTAGAATGAAAACTATCACTAAAATTTGATAACAAAACTATAAAGCTAGTTTAATCTATTAGTATAAGTAAAATTATTGTTGTTATAAAGGAATACGTAATGAAATACAGTACTTGTAGCTAAAAATGGTGAAAAAGTCAAATTATCTATCTTGTTTTGAAATGAAAATATTACATTAAATGAACTGTTATTTCTTAATTTACTTCATATTCTAAAATCCTTTTTAATAGCAAAAGATGCTCTAGTTATATTTCAAGTTAGTGAGAGAATTAGTAATTTATGATAAAAGGATGTTAAAGATATCATCAATACACTCAAAAAATTGCATTCACTAATTATATTTATAGAGATCTATATAAGTATAATCTTATTCATGATTAATGTGAAAATATAGTTATTATTAATTAGGGGTTTAGTATAAAAATGACTTTACATTTGCAATTAATAGTTAATGAAAATAATATTGTTTATGTTCATGAAGTTGATTTGATATGTTTGGTATGTTCATTCTATTTGATGCTTCATAGACCACTATTGGATAGAATTGTCTAATGAAGTTGATAATACCAAGAGTCAAGCATAAATTTCTTAGTGATTGTAAACATTCAGATATATAAGACAACGTTTATAATGCAATAAAAAGCTTAGATTATGATCAATTAATCTAAAATTCTAAAATTGCTAGTTTAGAGTGATTTTGATTTTATCATTAATTGAAATTTCTCTTCTAATGCTAATTTATGTCAGAATTGTGTATTGCTTCATAAGAAATATTTACTGCGCCACATTTGCTTCGCCCTCGGTAATTAGAAAAATCGCAATCACGAATTGGATGGTTATCTATATATGGGAACGTATGGTCTTTGTGCCAGAATTATTTCCATACATGTATGGAAAAAGCATGTAGATGGACGAAATTTATTGTATATAAATATAAGACAAACTTATTTATTTTAATTTATATTTGATTATCTTCGCTAAAATTCTATAACAATAATAAACGAAATTCTAATAAATAATAGCAAAAGACAAATATTTTAAATACGAAAAATTCATACCCGTATGGATTTATTTCATACATGTATGAATTAACAAAACCATACGTATTCGCTTTGCATTATTTGTTGAAACAATATCTCATTTAATAATAGTAATTTGAAAGAATAAAAAAAAAAAAATTTTTTCACGTATATGTTAAATTTTATTTTTATTTTTTTAAAAAAAGATTTATCAAGATGAAACAGATCCCTTATTAGTGTTACATAAATAAATCATAGGTTTTCTTTTTATAAATTCTGGGGCGAAATAAATCTAGAAAGAAAAAGAAAAAGGAGGAAAATCTCCGATTATAAGCCACGTGAAAGCAAAGAGAGAGGTGGAATGAGGAATATGTTCACGTGATCCATATGTAGTGCAACAATTTATAACACTTTCATTCATCCAGAGGCTAAAAATGAATGCGATGATCTTTTCTTAAAACGGTAAAACTTTCATTCAAAAATGCAAACAATCCGTTTTATCTATCTGGGGCTTATTGTTTCATAAATTAAACCAATCAATTAAATCTCTATAAATATTGTAATACTTTTGTTAATTTGTTAGCTTGTTTACTCAAAGGCATTTACAAGACCCACTTCTCTCTTCTTGTTCAAATATTAAATTTTCAAACAAACTCATAAAATGTCTCTGTCTCATAATAAATTTAATATACAGCATCTTCCATATGAAGTTCTTCAACAAATTTTTATACTTTCAAGCAATCCAAATTTTGCTTTTGTATCACGTTTATTTCATAATATCGCAACATCTCAAACAAGTGTGAAAACTCAATGGCTTTTACATAAATTTAATTACGATTGCACTAAAGCATTATATCGTGGCTTAAAATGGCGATTCTTTAATAAAACTATTTTAAATCAATTAGACTCGATTTATTATCAATCTAAATTAAAGAAGGGCGAAAATAGTTCAGATGAAGTAATTCAAGTAATTCCGTGTAAAGATCGTGCCATCCCTCAGTGGTTCTTCAGCATTCCTGATCCGAAAGGTACATATTATGAAATGGTAAAGATTCTTCTCGAACGTGGCGCTTCTCCTAATGAATCTGATGGTTATCCAATTATCAAATCTGCTCAACTTGGACGACTCAAGATGGCTAAGCTCTTATTATCCTTCAATGCTAATCCTGGTATCAAGGATAACATGGCTTTAAAAGTGACCGCAAAAGATGCAAATATTGAAATGGTCAATTTGTTGATAAAACGCGGAGCAAAGCCTGATTCAGATACCTTAAGGATAGCTGTGGAAAGGAAACATTGGCATATGGCCGAACTACTGGTTTCTCATGGAGCTCCAGCTACTCCCGAGGTTGTAGCCGCCTTTGAGAAAAACAAATGATAGTTTTTAGGATTATTTATTTTCTTTAATATTTGTAAGTGTGAATTTTTAATAATTTGTAAAATAAAAAAAAATTGGGTACAAAGTTTATATTTCAAATGATATAAATTAAAATAATTTTTTATAATATTTGCAAAATCAATTGTTTCCAATGGGATTGCAACTACAACTAATCGCACGCATCGGAAAAGAAAAGACAGAACCAATGGCTAATCCAAGTCCTAGACAAAAAGACATAATAGTTCCTGCTAAACCTTTTGTAACGCCTTCAATTTGTGGCGCAGCCATCATCGTTAAAGAACCCATGTACCCGTTAGATACCGCAAATAGCCACAAAGTTGAAAAATAAATTAAATCGCTGTTAATCATTAATGGCAAGATCCTTGCTCCATTTGAACCAACATCAACATTGCACATTAAAAAAATTGGAAAAAATATAATACGTGCAATCGACATGAGTGCAAGTTTTTTAGAATCTGTTGTGGAAAATGATTCTAAAGATGGTAAACATCGACCAAGCCAATCTCCAATATTAAATACCAAGAAATGTAAAGGTATAAATAAATAATCTTGATGAAATTTACTCTTGTCATGTTCAACGACAATTGATTTGATAGATGCAGTGATTGAGGGAAAAAGTGATAAGGTCACAAAGAAAACGAAACCCACCGTAAATGCTAGAATACGGATTTTATTAAATGTTCCTATAAGTAATTTTGTATCGTATGTAGTTTCTACATTTTCTGCACTCTGTATCATTCTGACTTGTTCTCTTGCTGGTATGTAATGTAGATAAAGAGGTAAGCGAATCAGAACAAAGTAAGATATTAAAGTAAAAAGAGAAATTATAGTAGCACATATAAAATATAAAAGTGCACTGTGACGTAAATCGTTTTCCTTTGACATGTTAAGATTTGATGATATTGGGACCGTCAAAGCACTAAGAATTTGAGAAACAGCGATTGCTGACCCGGCCAAACCTTAATGAGATAGTAAAGTTTTAAAATGTATTAAAAAATCTTTATAATAATAATATATTTTCAAAAGTTACCTTGACCGCTTCGTAATAAAAAAATCAATGAGAAATAATGTAATTCAATTAATATATAATAAAAAAAAGCATATGGACTAAAGAAAAAAGATAATTCTCCTTACCTCATGATTGATTGCGTATAAATAGGTGAAAATTGGGAGACAAGCGCGAAAATTTCATTTTGTTGAATTGCAGCCGTTGCACCCATAATACCAACCGATGTGACGACAAAGTAAAAGTAAATTGTGGGACCAAAAAACTCAACATATTGAGTTGATATTGCAATTATTAAGAAAATGAATATCATAAGCGCAATTGCAAAGGTTACTCGAAAAGATATATTTTCCTATTATTATATATTTTAAATTTAATTTAATGACAAGAATGATCTATGCAGACTTAAAGAGGAATTGTACTCACCGACTTATGAGTAAGCAAAGCAAGTCCGAGAAAGAAAAGATTCGAACTCATATATACAACAGAAAAGTAGTTTTGAAAATGATCTGCATATGCTGAACCAAGAAAACTCTGTTGAAAGAATACAGAGGCAGTAATGAATACTAAAATAAATATTGTTATGATATTTTATTTACCTTTTTGTTTATAAAAAAAAAAAAATTATATTTTCTTCTGCCATACCATTCCATCCTAATAGCATTGCAACACCCTGAAATAAAAATATCAAATATACAACTCGATAATTATCTTCAGGAGGTACTTGTTGTATTGTATCCTCTTCGCTTGTTTCTTGAGAAGGACGCTCATTAATCTCAGAAGTCGGGACAGGAGTGTATGTTTGTTCTCTATGGCCCCAAACATTTTTAAAAAACCGATAAACTCGAGAGTTCGACATGATTCACAACCAAAGATTTTCAAAACGATGTTTTTTTTCGTAAATTGGCCGGTTCGTCCATGGAAATTCCATGGAAATATCGCTGAATTTTGTGTCACGAAATACATGAATGAATCGGGTTTACTAATTTACCCCCAGGCTCTGATTGGCTGGTATAATTGAGATTAGTTAGGGTTAGGGTTAGGGCTTAGGTGATTTATCACCGGTAGTGTTTCAATTTTTATTAAGTATCTGGGGAACTTGGAATTTTTTTAGGTGTTGATGTTGATTAGTCGCCCCATCAGTACGTGACAAATAACATAGTTAAATATACCAGCCAATCAGAGCTTGGGGTAAATTAGTGAAATCGAATCAAAATAATTTTTTTAATTAATAAATAGATGCGGGTAAATTTTTTATTGGTTCAAATCTGTAATCTAATCATATATAATATGGTTTATTGAATGATTGCTTATATTGCTTATTAGTAGCCTTAAATTATTAAAATATTTATTTAACTTTAATACAAAGTCATGAATTAAAAAGAAAAAGAAAAAAACTTAAAAAATTAATTAGTAAACTTTACAAAAGCAAACAAGAATAATTTAATCGAAAGTTCAAAGAATTTATCCTTTTCGCATACGATTTCCTAATTAATAAAATAACTATCAGTAACATTTACATGACATCAAAATATACATTTATAATAAATTTACCCCATCCACGAGGATTTGCGTCCTTGAATTCATCCCATTCTCGTGCTTTGAACGTTTCTTGGTCTATAGCATGCTCGTCGTTATCATCAATTTCCTTTTTCTCCGGTATCTGTCTAATATAACATTATTGTTTAGAAGGAAATAGATAAATATCACTTCGAGATATCTGAAGTTGACTTCTTACCCTCCACCGCTAATGATATTGCCTCGTGCAGCTTCTTGATCAAGGTATTCATCAATGGTCATTGTTGGAAGACGCCAACCTGGTCTAAAAACTTGTTCTCGAATCGCTTCGCGTTGGTTTGTGATGACAAAAGGTCGAAGCGGCTATATTTTAAGATGGGATGTATTAATGAAATTTACAAATTTAAAATAATATAATTAAGTTATGAATGGTTAATTTTACCTTTCCATCTTTTGTCATTAACGGACCGCTTAAATTTTTGGAAATATTTAAGGCCTTATTATCATTCGCCAGACCTACAAAAGAACTAGGCCCAGTTTGTTCTTGAATTTTTCTCATTTGATCAAGTAATTCAAATTCTTGTTTAATTGATAATAATTGTTCCATAGATTTTTGTATGAAGAGGTCAATAAGAGTAAGAATATATTTGCGACTAAAGTCTTCTTTGTCATTGTCTCCAATAGAAGGCAACAATTGTTGTAAAGACTGATCCGATTAGTGAAATGATCTCAAAGATTAGCAATTGCCAAAAAATATTGACAGATCAAAAGGTAATATATATGAATTACCTCTAACTTCATTTTAATCTCTTTCTCTCTCTTATATCGTGCTATCTTATCTTCACGTTTCTTTGCAGCATCTTTTATAATTCCATTAGACTGCTGTTCAATAAGTTTTCTGTCCTTAATTTCATTATATTAAAGGAAAAGAAATTATACATTAATAACTGAAAAGGTCTAAACCAGATAAAAATGAATCTAACCTCCTCTTTTAGTATTTCATGCAATTCGATATTCCGTAAAAATTGTTCAAAGTGTAGCTAATTATAACGGAAAAGAATATGAAAGTATGTTAAAGAACATCGACGAGATAATTTTTTAAATATACATTCTATACAAACCTTTGCCTTATTTAGTATTTGCATTCGATCTCCGTCGACCAATTTAGTCGTTAAATCACCAAGATATGCTTCAACTAAAAGGAATCTATGTATTCACATCACATAATTCAAAATAATGCTAAAATTCTAATTTCGAACGTGATCCACTTTTTATATCTTGCCTTAAATCTCCGGTATTAATGTCTTCCACGGTTTCGTTTGCGCTAAATATACTCAATTTATCCGTCAACTCCGCGCATTTAATGAAATGTGTGATTGCAATTTTAACATCTTGCTAAAAATTAATTCTCACTTTTAATATAGAGTATATTATTAAATTGGCATAGAATTAGTAATGTGATAATGTGATATATGCCTGATATAACGGATCAGACGAAGCAAGACTTGTGGCTTCAATTCTGTTGTAAAATTTCTGTCCCAAGAGAAATTCATCCGATAATGATTTTTCTGCAGTCGCTGTCATTATTGATAAGTCGCGTTATTTATGAACTTGTTCAAAAGAATCAAAAAAAATAAGGAAGTGTGATCTAATCTTAAATTGATCTATAAGTACACGTGTCACACCTAACATGGCGTTCTTCGATTCGTTGTATAGTTTTAATTCACGGTTACACATAAGTTTGCTGTTACACATTCTTCTCAGTTACACATTCAAGTACAATGTCTACTTTAGCTAAGCCACTTAATTTGATTATAGATATTAGTTCAGATATAAAATATAAATTTCATTGTAAATTATGAACCGCTTTATCTTAGTATTTAGTTTTGACTTGGCACTTATTTTTCCTCTTACCTATGAACTACAGAAGTGAAATTACCAAAATGCCGGCTTCAAAGACTCGAAAAGTTCCTGAAAGACCGACAACACGAGCTTCTACGAAAACAGCACATGCTAACGGTATAAGAACTAAAAAATTTAGCTACCTTTTTTAAAACACAGACTTCCATTATGCTAATACCCCTTTATTCACCTTTTTTCGCTAAAAGGTGATTTTGCTGTTAAGCAACGTTTAAGGTCCTATCCCAACGCAGTTACACCCTCGTCTACCGTTTCTCCTGCGACAACGCGTGCGAGTTCTGTTGAATCCGCGCGGGAAACAACCCACCGCAAAGCCTCTTCACGAACAAATACTCGCTCTTGCCATAACAACAAAAACGATGGCGTTGTGACTCGGCGGTCTACATTACAAAAGGAATGCATAGGTAATTTTTTTGAAGTTAACCATTTTTAAATATTTACTTTGCTTATTTATTTAATACAGTCTAGCTTCATTTCTCGACATTTTGAGTTTATTAACTTATATGTTACTTCATAAATAAAGAAGAAGGTGAAATTATTTTCGAAAGTCATTCCTCAGATGACGAGGCGTTTATAACCTTGAAACATACCTACAGAAAACAAAAGCGGCGTGCGGATGAAATTGTTATTCAGTTTAAATCACTAAAAGAGAGGTAAAAAAAAACCCCTTTAACATCGTTCTAATATGTTAGTTATAGGTGCTTTTTTTTTAAAAAAAAAAACAAATTTCTATTATGTTTATCCACAGGATGTTTAATTCAAGAATAAATGATCTTGATGAAGATAATAACGCAATTCAAGAAGGTTGTCATCCAAGATTATCAAAACAAATGGATGAGATCGAAGAGAAACATAAAGCCCTGACACTAAGAGCAGAAAGACGCCGTGAATATCATAAAAACGCAATAGAAGCTGCATTTGCCGCACAAGAAAAACAGATACGAGACGAATTTATGGTAATTTTCAATATCCAAGTCGAAACATCATTATGCAACAATATTTATTCTTTATATTTATGATATAGAATGACCGGCATAAATTGAGAACAATGATGATAGAAGAGCTAGAGAAGAAGAAAAGCCAACTTAAGAGAGAATATTATAGAAGTAAGTATCTTACAATTTTTTTAAGCCACTCCCCGTGTAAATTTAGTCTTTTAAAAATTTTTCTTTCATATTCATTTTGAAATCGTTATGTTGCTTTCTTATTAATAGAACCTGAGGATAATCTGCTGGATTTGGTAATGAAAAAAATTGAAGGAACACCATTTGATCCAAATTATAAAATATTTAATAAGGGATCAGATACTACTCGTACATCTTTTCCTATTCATAACAGATTACCCAACGGACAACCGCGCACACCAAGAACTAATATTGATATTCAATATAGTCAATTATTCAATTTAAATATCCTTTATTATTATAACTTTAAAACTTTTCTTCCAAACTCAAGAATTTATCTATCATTGTTGTTTAAACTCCTTAACTATCAATACATTTCCATCCGACAGGGACCAATGAAGAAGAGATGGCAGAGGATTTGATGGCAATGCAGTTGTGGAAACCAGTAAGACTGCCGCCACAATCATCATCGTCGAAATTTCATTCCACAAATCAACCACATCCAAATATAATTTCTTCCACTTCTAGTGTTATCATATCCCCGCCTCGACGGAAAAAAGAACCCCGTACAAAACGACCTCGTCGTAATTCTAATCGAGAAACCGTTTCAGAAACACGTAGGGAAACGCCTATTATTTTAGCACCAAAAGAGTTTTCAAAGACTTCTTTAAGAGAAACGCCCAAAGTTTCTAAAACAATTCATAGAGATATACCTAGCGAGTTGCTTGGTAGGGAAACATCAAAAGAATTGCCCAGAATATCACCAAAAGAAACTCTCAAAGATATCGGTTTGCACAGGGAGACTCCCAGAGAAGTATTTAGGGAGGTTCGAGAGGTAGTTAGAGAACCGCCTAGGGAAATAGTCAGAGAACCACCGCGAGAATTACCAAGAGAAATTCCAAAAGACTTATCTATGGGTACATCGCAAAATCCAAATTCTATTATTGTTAGCCGGTGGCTTGCTGAAGATGGCACGGAAGAAGATAATGATTCAGACCAATAATAAAATAACACACCAAATATTGCTTTGTAAAAAGACAAACCGAGAATGTATTTTAGGAAAATGATTATTGTACATGATGGGAGAGGCCATGTAGGGAAGGAATTAATTTAGAGTATTATAATCTATTCACTTTTTATTAAGAGAGAAAGAAGGAAAAAAAAAAATGTTCGCTGTAATATTATTATACTTAAAGGCTAAAAAAAAAGACAAAAAAAAAATGTGGTCTTTGTTTTGGGGGGTATAAAATATTTGTATTTTATATATATATATATATATAATTATTATTTTTTTTTTTTTTTTTTTTTTTTTTTGCATACTGCAAAACTATTATTTTATTTGTTTTTTTTCCTTTTGATATGACTGATTTTGGAAATAATTTCGGACTCCAATTTTAACTTCAATGAATTATTTTATTAATATATATAATATAAAAAAAAAATGAAATCATTTTTAAATACTCATGTAAAACTATCCACTGCAAAGCAAATCGGTTTAAGATGGATTGTACGATGCATTACCATGAAAATAGAATTCAACCGAAAACGTACTTAACAAAAGAAATCTGTAATTAAAATGATCAACAAAAGTAAAAATTTTATTACCAAAAAAAATAATACTGAAAAAATTTCTTAATGCTAACGATTTTTCTTATATATCGGTCCATCATTATCTGATTCTCCATTTATAGGGGTCATTAAGTAGTATTTTTGAAGCAGATAAAAGTTCGGTAGCATCTAGAAATGGTTTAAATTATCTACTAATTCTCATAATATCAAATGGGTGTGACATAAGCTTTAATTAGTTAAATTTTTATAGCAAATCTTAATATATAAATAATATATTTTAGAAATGATTTTCATGGGTAATATCTTAAAAAGGATATGATTTACATGATCAACACATTAAAATCCTATATGAAAAATTGCTATCCCTTTGACTGTAGAGCAGGCAAATTTGCCTGCGAAGTTAAAAAAAAAGTGTTAATTTCTTAATAAAATATTAAATATTAATT